AGCACAAGACAGCGTAGGAGGAAAGTGGCGGCGCAGCGGGCATCAGCAGCAGCCGGCAATAACAACAGGTAGTATCAGCACCAGACAGCATAAGAGTAAGGTGGCGGCGCAGCGGGCATCAGCAGGAGCGAGCAGCAGGAGCAGGCAATAACAACAGGCAGTATTAGCACCAGACAGCATAGGAGGAAGGTGGCTGCTGCAGCTGACAGGGGGTGCAACAGAGAAGCTGTTTGGAGAGAGTGTCGAGCTCTTATCGCGCGTTACCTGTCAGTCGCTGGCCGACCCACCGGAATTGGGGGGGTTGGAAACGCATTGAAAATGTGTATTGGGAATGGTCTGAACCAGGAAACTTCGACCCTTGGCCCAGGGGCGGAAACATTGAGGATGTCGCCGCCGCCGCTGAGGCCGCGGTTACGACGCCGACGCCGCCGACATGACACCGACGATGTCTTCGGTTCTGACGCGCACGGGATCGGACAGCGATTGGCAGGCAACGCACGATAAGAGCTCGGAGAAGCTTTTTGGAGAAAGCGTGTCGAGCTCTTATCGCGCATTGCCTGTCAATACCGGATACAGCACAGCACGTTGCGAGGCAGACTTGGAAACGATGAAAACACGAAGCTGGAAACTATTCAAAGTCCCCGGGATTGACGTTGGAAACGACCAATAAACGCATCGCCGCCGAGACCTGGAAACGATACGACAACGGGAGCCAGAAACTATTACACAACGTGGTTTTGAATGAAAGCCGGAAGCTTTTATATATATATATATATATATATATATATGTATATATATATACACATACATATACACATATATACACACATATTTACATCTTGTAGAAATAGTCAAACCTATGTTTTAATGCAAATCAAAAACGCCCAGGGTGTTTCCAAGACGCACTAAGTCTCTTGGCATGGGCCTCCACCTTATTGGATCGCTCACCAGTGGGAACCTGGCCCCCGCACCCAGACCACGATCCTGAGATCCGACGACGCAGAAAACACAAGTTCGCTGAGAATTGCAAAAACGAAGCCCCAGGTCTACCAGGATACAGCTTTCTGCGACCGATTCTGGGCGAAAATGTAGGGTGCCCCCAAAAATGCGACTCCAGGATTTCAGGGGAGGGCATGGGCAATGACACGCTAGCCGCTCGTGAAGCCCAGAGAATCCTCTGGGAGCCTCTGGGTGGTGAGGTAGCCCAGCTCGCCCTCTGGCGTCTGCAGCTCGCGGCAAAATTCGGCCTGGGGTAACAACAAAATGCCGATGTCGCTGTGCCGCAACAACAAAACACGGAATGGCATGCACATGCACTTTCGGAGGTCCGCGCGGATTCGAGGGATCGGTCTCCTCCCTGGCGGCGCCTTCGGTGCCGCCCCTGGCGCGCTCGGCGCGCCAATGGAGGAGAAGTCCAGCACCGATCCAAGAGGTCCGCCCCGCGCCGTATGCTGCTCTTCAACTCCCCTGGGATGCGGTCCGACCAAGATTCCGAGGCGACAGCAGCCGTGGAGACGACGAGCCCCTCGGAGACCCCAACGAAACGAAAACGCGAAAAGGCAGCTTGGCACGCCCAAGTACGGACAAAAAGAGCACGATGCGCAACAACAGATGTGGCTCAACACGGGCAGCGGCCGCTGTTGGGCCGGTGACTCTTTGTCTCACTTGGACAGCGTCGGCGGTGACAACGGACTCTGTTCAAAATGGGCAGGGCCTGCTGTGGCCTTCGCCCAGTCTTTCCATGCCACATTCGAATGGCACCCAGGGCATTCCCACGGGACCAATTCTTCATCCTGCATTGTTGTCTGACGGCCCCGGGGCCAGGGAGGTCCGAACACTGAGAAACACTACGGGCACCGATTCCCTCAGGACGCGTTTGCTTCACAGCCTTAAAGAAACAAGACAATGAAAAAAGGCAGCAGTGCCAGTGGTAAAGCTTCGGGTCGCAAACAATCAGCACCCCCCCCTACCCAAATCCCCGACGTCATGCTTTTTTCATGACGTCAACCCCCAGAGGTCTCGACCCATGCCCCGGGACCGGTCTTTCATCTCGAGTCGGTTTTTGACGGCCCCGAGGCCCTGAAAGGGCCCCGAGAGGCCGAAAACTCCTGAAAAACCAGGAGAGGCCCAGAAGGAATCCAGCCGTGGCGACGAGGGCCTTCCAAGACAGGCCCAGAAGGGCGAGAATGAGGGAAGGGCAGCGAGATCGGTTCGTTCCTAGCGGCCGCTCCAATGCTTTCTATGCGCTATAGCCCCAGGAAGCCTGGGCAACTTCCCTCTGGGGCCGGTTGTCGTCCTAATTCTATTCTTTGACGGTCCCGGGGCCCGCCGAAGGCCCACGCGGAAGCCGAAGGAAACGAAGCACCGGCCGCTCCCATGGCTCTGGAGCCTCGGCTCCCCTGGGCACTCCTCCCCTGGAGTGCTGGCCCGCTCTCTTCTTCGACCCCTGGCGGCCAGCGTCGTCTCCCGGCGGCGCCCCGCATCCTGCTCGGAAGCTGGAACACGGACATCACCCGTGGCGGGCTGTCTCTCTATCCCATGTAGGACTCTTGGAGGCTCGGGGAAGACGTCGGGGCAGTGTGGTGTAGACTTGTCTGGTGCACCAGACAAGTCTACACTCGGGGGCGTCCCGTATACACAAGGATCCGCTTTCCTACGCTCGGGGGCGTCCACGAGGGGGGCCTCCAAAAGGGGGGGGGGCGCAAATCATGGCCGGCGGCATGTGCGCGGCCCAGGGGGGGGCCAGGGACGTAATGAAGCAAGAAGAGGCGCCATGAAATCAGAGGAACTATCATGGCCCACGCCTTGATATCCCCCCCCCTGGTCATCACCCCCCTCTCTGCCGCCCCCGATCTGCAAACTCCACGGCAGGGCTGGTAAAAGCGTTGGTGCATGTATAGAGGCCTCCTAGATGGGGTCGGAGTAGACGGGGTCGGAGGATCCCGCCGCATCGCCGATACATCGGCGATGCATCGACGATGCATCGGGCACTGGTGATGCACCGCCGACGTCGGCGACGCATCCGCGACGTCGGCGTGGGGAAACACGGGCTCCACATCGAGCCGCATCGTCGATGCATCGGCGTTGCGGCGCGATCCTACGACCCCATCTACTCGGACCCCGTCTAATTATAGGAGGCCTAGGATATCGAGTTCGGCTCCCTGCCTGCCGCCCGAAGGGCGCCGCGGCGTCCGCCCGCTGCTCCACGACGACGGCGCAGGCGCCGGCGGGGCCTTGGCCGGAGGGGCCGCGCGCGCGCTCGGGGGGCGCAGCCGGAGGTCCAGCGCCTCGAACAAAAAAAAAATAAGACCCAGACCCGTTTTTCGTACTCCTCCTCATCGCCCTCCTCCTCCTCCTCCTCCTCCTCCTCCTCCTCCTCCGCTTCGTCGTACTCCTCCTCTGCTTCCTCCTCCGCTCTTCGTACTCCTCCTCCTCCGCCTCCTCCTGCTCCGCCTCCTCCTCCCCCTCCTCCTCCTCCTCCTCCCCCTCCTCCTCCTCCTCCTCCTGCTCCTCCTCCTACTCCTCCTCCTCCTCTGAGAAAATCGTGGCGGGAAGTTTTGTGTTATTTTCGGCCCCTGGAGGTCCTTGCCGGGTCTCGGGAGCGTCAAAAAACGACTCGGGATGAAAAACCGGTCCCGGGGAATAGCTCGAGACCTGTGGGTGGGTCGGTGTAGTGAAAAAATCATGACGTCGGGGGTCTGGGGACGAAGGTTGATCGTAATGTTCGGCACCTCGGGGCTCTTCTCGGGCCTCGAAGACTATCAGACAACCAGGGCGGGTGGCAGTGGGGGGTGACCCACGTGGGGGAAGAAGAAAAGAGCCCCAACGGGGCCCTTTATAGGGCCCTTCTCGGAGCCCATTACCACCCGCCCCCCGCCCCAATCGAAGGCTAGCAGACAGCGACCCGGGATGGAAAGAAGTCGGTCCCGGGGAAATGGCCGAGAGGTCGGGGGCCTGCCGTGTTCCCAGACCCCCGACGTCATGATTTTTGTCATGACGTCGACCCCCAGAAGGTTCGACCTATTCCCCAGGACCGTTTCTTTCATCCTGAATCGATGTTTGCCCGTCCTGAGGCCTGGCAAGGGCCCCCAGAGGCCGAAAACTCAGAAAAATCTCCCGTCGTGATTCTTGCGTTCTTCGAGGGGGTCTGGGTCTCGAAGCCATCGAGACGCCAGGTGTCCGGGTGCCGCGGCGCAGCCGCCAGGGGCTCCGCAGAGAAGGCGGCTGCTCCCCCCCGGACATGGCCGCGTCGTACGTGGCAGGCGCGACGGCAGGTCCGCCACTTCGGCCCTCGGGGCCCCTGCGAAGACCCGGGGCCGTCAACAGCTGGTAGATCGAAGCCTCGTGGGCGGCTAGCGTAGGAAGAATGAAAGGCGGCACCAACACCACCAGGGCGACGAGATGCGAGGAGCAAGGGGGGTCTCCCTGGTGGTGTGGTCCCCCCCGTCTCGCTCGAGACATCCCTAGCCTCCAGCTCGGGGAGGCATTGTGGACCTCCTCGCTGGAGGTGGGCCCACCTGGTGGTGTTGGTATCGCTTCTCCTCCCTCCGATTGCGCCCTACAGGCTGGTCGAAGCTGCTCACAGCAAGACGTAGCTGTCGTCTGTGTTGTAAGTCTGCGTTGCTCTGCTGAAGTGCTGCCTTCCGCGGGTATTACGGTGCAAGTCTAGTCGTGTTACTTCTAAGTAATTTCCATACTTCGCCGAGCGGGGTAGGCTACATATAAATATGGGTAAACGTCTTATCCGAAGTTAGGCACCAGTACTTGGCATTACCTGTGAGCAGTCTATACTTAGGCTTGTAAGCTCTGTCCTACCCTCCCTTTTCACTCCATCCCCCTTCGCCGCGGATGAGAAGGACGAGGGGGGGGCAGGCAGCGATGAGAGGAGGAGGGGATGGAGAAGGTAGCGATGGCGATCGCTAGGAGGAGGAGGAGGAGGAGGAGGAGGAGGAGGAGGAGGAGAAGAAGAAGGCGGAGAAGGAGAGGAGGAGGCGGAGGAG